AGTTAAGTTATATTTAGAGTTATTATACGTAAACTTAGTATTAGCTAGTAGAGTTATCTAGTTATTTTACTTATAGTTTATATAGGCTCTAAAGTATTACTTTAAAATCTAATTTATATACTTTATCTAGCTATTAGTCTAGAGGTAAAAAACTATTAATAGTAGTTATTTAGTCTTTAGATATTAAGTAAAGATACTCTAGTATACTAATATAAATAGTACTTTCTTATTAGTAACTACTAACTTTAGTAGGCTATAAAGGCGTATAATCTTCTAATAAAAAGTTTTAGCTAGTCTTAGTATATTTAAGTTACTTCTAGATAGTATAAAGTATACTATCTTAGAAAAGTAGTATATAACTATAAGTATACTATTATACTTTTACTTTTCTAGAGTACTTAGAAATAACTTAGTAATAAAGTCTATTATAATATTTTTCTAAATATTAGCTAGTATAGGTAGTAACTATAGTTTTCTATATCTAGTATATCTAGTAGGTTTTATTCTTACGTAAGTTATATAGAACTAATAGTAGTTCTTAACTATTTATTAAACTTCTAGCTACTAGAATTTTTTTAATATAAGATCTAGAGTTTAGATAAATCTAAAGTAATCTACTAAAAAGTTATTATAGTAAGCTTATAAGACTTTAATATAAGCTACTTCTAAAATATAAAGTTTTCTTTTATAAAGAAGTATATTATTTAATTTTATACTCTATTAGTTTACTTACTATAGTTAAGTATTATCTAGTATTAATAGTATCTTTCTAGTAAAGTCTATATACTTATTATTAAGTATACTTTCTTTAATAGTATTACGTATAAGATATAGTAGCTTAGTCTAGTTAGTAAGTAATATTAGTTAACTTAGAGTAATAGCTCTAGTTATACTTATAACTACTTTAATTTAAAGTTTTCTTACTTCTTCTAAAGTAACTACGCGCTCTTTAGAGCTATTTATATTAGTTAACTATAGCTTATACTAAAGCTCTACTAGTAACTTCTTATTACTACTAGCTAAACTTACTATATTCTTATCTAACTTATAATTTAGGCGTTTAGATAGTCTATTAGTAGAGTTAGTTTATCTAAAGTAGTAGACTATAGTAAAGTAAAAAGTAGCTAGCTATTCTACTTATCTAGTTTACTTACGTAATAGTACTTTAGTAAATATAAACTTTTATAAATTATAGTAGTTTATATAAAAAGTAATATTATAAGCTATACTTTTAAGGTAATACCTTTAGTATTTAAAGGCCTCTACTACTATAAGAAGTTTTCTATTATATATATTATAATTATACTTAGTAGATGTTATCTTATATAAATAGTATATAATTAGATACTATAGGTTCTTACTATTAAGTTCTAGTCTAGACTAGTTTAGAATTTTAAAGATTATAAAGTCTAAGGTATTAGTTTCTACTTTATAAAGTAGGCTAGAGTTAAAATAGACTAGAATAGAGCTTATAGTAAATTTTTCTTTAAGAATCTTAAAAGCTTTAATAGTATTAAGTTCTAGCTTAATTAGACGTAATTCTTCTTATTATTACTAGTAGCTACTTTTACTTACTTTAGGTAGCTTTTAGATAATTTAGTAAAAAGAAGTAGCTATTCTAAAGAACTCTTTTATAAAGCGCTAGTAGTAGTTAGTAAAGTTTAGAAAGATTTAGATATTTCTAACTAAAGTAGATATAGGCTAGAATTAAATAGTATTAATATAGTTAGTCTTTATTTCTACTCTTTATAGAGTAACTTTAAAATCTAAGTAGTTTACTTTTTAAGTATAGAAGTTATACTTAGAAAGTTTAGTATATAGTCTATACTAGATAAGTTTAGATAATACTTCTTAGATCTAGCTAATATATTTCTTCTTATTTTAAAAGTAGATAAGAATATTATTAAAGTATATAATATAGTAAATATCTAGTAGATCTAATAAAATTAAGTTAATATAATTCTAAAATACTATAAAGGTATTAGTAAAGCTAAATAGTATTATAGTATATTTAAAATAGCTATATCTAGTATAGAAGGCTATCTTCTACTTATTTTTCTTTTTAATATAGATATAATAGTAAGTATTCTATAAGTTTAGTTTAGTATAAATTAATATAAATCTAAGTTAATTAAAGAACTCTTCTATAAGTAGTAGTAAGTAGTAGTTTTTTATAGTAATTATATTAAGGCTATAGTAGTCTATATATAACTAGAAAAAGCTATTCTTCTTCTTTATAAATAAAATTAGCGCTTCTACTTTAGAGGTAAAATATCTAATTTATTCTCTAGCTAGGTTTTTATTAATATATTTACGTAGTATTTCTACTTCTATTACTAATAGACTATAAAGTAGTTTATAAAGTAGATTCTTGTCTTTCTTTAGATTAATTACTATTTTATATAACTTATATTTAGCTAGAATAGTAGTATCTTTCTTAGAAAAAGCCTTTATCTAGAAACTATAGTACTAATAAAGTAGAGTACTATTATCTTAACCTACTTAGTTTACTACTAGTAGAAAGCTATTATTATTTTTATTAAGAAGTATAGCTATAAATTATTTAGAAGTTTCTAAAGTAATTTTATAGTATTTAGTTTACTTTATAAATTTTATAGATTTTAAGATAAAGTTTAAAGTAGATTACTATTACTTTAGCTATAGTATATCTAAAATTATATTAAATTCTTTAAAGTCTTCTAAATAGAACTTTTTTTACTTTTCTTAGGTAGTATTATAGCTATTAGTTATAGTATACTTTATATTTACTTAGTCTAATATAGCTAGTTCTTAGCTATTAAAACTATAGAACTAAGTTATACTATCTTAGTATAGTTTATATTTAGCTTTACTAGCTATAGCTTAACTAATAAAGTTAGTTTTAGTACTACTATTAAGAAGCGCCTAAATATAAATAAGCCTAAATTTAGCTAAAATAGTACTTTTTATAGTAATTAAAGATAAGCCTACTATTTCTAGCTTAGTTTTATACTTACTACTTATAGTAGTAATAAGACTTTTAAAGTATATAATAAGTTTCTTAGACTATAAAGTTAAGTAGCTTAAAAGTATACTTTTCTCTTCTAAGTACTAGTAGAGTTAGAATACTTTCTTTTATAGTACTTTTTATAGTAGTAGTTATAGTATTTAACTTAACTAATATTCTTTATACTTATTTAAACTACTAGAGTAGTTATAAATTCTTTCTTAAGTAGTATACGTAGTTTTACTTCTTAGCTAAGTAGACTATACTAGTTAGTATTATACTATATTTACTTAAAAAGTAACTAGTCTTTTTTAGTATTTTCTATATCTATCTAAATCTATTTAATCTAAAGTATAAACTTTAGAGCTTTATACTACTAGTTAGCTTTAGCCTCTAGTACTATAAGACTATACTACTTTTACTTAATATTATCTAGTTATTTATATATTTTTAAGTTAAGAGTAAAGTAAAAGTTATAAATATAATTTTTATTAGTATTATTAAGAGTAGCTTAAATATTAAGATTCTTTTATTATATCTTAAAGTAGTTAAGAAGCTTAGTAAAGATATAATAATACTATTTTATATTTTTAATTTTTTTTTTAGCTATTTACTTATATTTAAAAAAAAAGCTAAGAGACTTTAGTATAGCTAACTTTAGAGTAGTCTAAGTTAGAACTAGTACTTTTAAGTTAGCTATAATAGCTTTAGCTATTTTTTTCTAATAGTTAAGTTAGTAGTTTCTAAGCTATTTAATTATAAAGTTAACTTATATAGTTAAGTTAGTTAAAGTAAAGTTACTCTTAAAAAAGTATTTATAAGCTTTAGTCTAGCTATTAAGTTATACTTTATTTTTACTTTTAAAATATATTAAAAAGTTAGATTTTAGAAGTAGAATTTTAAAAAGTTTAGTTTAGTATAAAGTACTCTTAGTAGGCGTAGCTAGAGCTAGTATTAGTATAAGTAGTAGTAAAGTCTAGAAATTACCTTTAGTAAGTATAGTCTTAAAAGCCTTATATTAGATATATAAAGTAGTAATCTTTATATACTATTTAGCTTTTAACAAAAGCTATTCTTTTTATTTAAGTTCTTACTAGAAAGTTAATAGTATTAGTTTATTAATAAGTATTCTTTTTTTAACTAGTAGTATTTTTATAGTAAGTATTAGAGCTTATACTTTCTTTTTAGTAGTAGTTAGAGCTAATAAAATATTAGCTAGTTTAGACTAAGCTAAAAAAGCTATATTTTCTACTACGCTATATAATTATAATAAAACTATATTTATAGTATTACTAATAGTTATAAGTAGAGATTTCTATTATAAAAGTAGAATAAATTAATATAGAATTATATAAATATAAATCTTTACTAAGTAATCTAGATAAAGCTATTACTTATAAAAGGTTTCTCTAAGTTTCTATACTAGTAGAGCCTACACTTATATATACTAGTATAGTCTAGAAAGATCTAGAGAGATCTAGAGTAGTTTATAGCTAAGTAGTTATAATAGCTATATCTTTAATACTAATACTATAATATACTATAAAGTTAGCTAAAAATAAAGTAATACTCTTTTATATTTTATATAAATATATTAAGAAAAAAGATAATAATAAGAAAAAAAAGACTCTTTACTAGTAATATAAACTTACTTATAGTAGTTTTTATAAAGTAAAAACTCTTATAAAAGATATTTTTAAGTACTATAAAGCTATAGTAAGTAATTTAAATATTTAAGTTTAAAAAAGTAGTAGTAATAATAAAGTCTACTATAGTTATATATACGTTATATAAGTAATAAAGACGTAGTAGTAGTAACTATTTTATATATTACTCTCTTCTAACTTAGAGTATAATATATACTTTAGTTCTTCTATCTTATTTTATAGTACTGCAGTAGTAATATAAATAAGTAACTTACAACTTCTAAATTTTATATAAACCTATCTAATTAGATTCTCTTGAAAAAAGAGAAGTATTGTTAACACAAGAGCTTGCCTATGCCGCCCTCGCGTTAAGTCATTTTGACATCAGTCTTCAGTTCCCAGTACCTGCCATCTATCATAGCAGCCGCCAAAGCCGAGGCGCGCTTCGCCATTTCCGTCTCCCCGGTCTCGATGGTCATCTTCGCGACGCCGCCATGACATTCGAACTTTCCAGCCCAGACATCTGGCCACTTGGGTGCGCAGTAGGCATTACTGGCAGTGACCTTCAAGTGCCAAGAGCCGTCGTAGCCGATTAGGAAGCCGGCGACGTGTTCGAAGCGGTACGCCTTCATGGATGTGTGGTTCTCGAAGGTGCCAATCTAGAGGGGTGTCAGCGACTGTCTGCTTGGTGTTGTATGTGATGACCTACAAAGACTTCAAGACCCTTGCGCCATACGACGAGCTGAACGTCCTTCTTGCCGAACACAGCCTTGAAGGTGTTGACGGTCGGGCTGACGAACGACTTGAGAGTTGCCGGTGAGATGTTGAAGAGAGCGGTGACGACAGCATCTTGGAGCTTGAGCGCGCCATCTTCTTTCATAGACGCAGCATACTCGCCGAGATCGAGGATATGAGCATGGCTGGCCGGACCGCTTGATGGTAAGGTCTCGAAGTCATCTGTGTATGAAGACGTGCTGCTATCGCTCTTGCCAGAGTCACTCTTGCCCGGCGATTCGGGACGGATTTCGGTGCTAGCCGGGGATGGAAGACCGCTGGTTTCGATGTCGATCTCCATAGGAGTGCTGTCGTGATGAGTAGTCATTGTAGCGGTGCGGATGACAGGTTGTGAGAGATCTCGTGTGTCTTGTTCGGGGTGGTTGTCAGAGTCAGAAGGTTGTAGCTGCAAGCGTCTGAATCTCGTAGTTACCGGCATGGTACAAGATATATGAGTACAACAGTTGGGCACGCTGGCTTCTGGTGAGCGATGAGATCCAAGAGAGAGGAGTGGTGAACATGAAGTCTGACGAGGAGCGATGAAAGATAATGGGTGAAGAGGCCGCTCTGTGTGAAGCGTGTAGGCGTTTGCCATGCGGGTCACACTAGTAGCGCTAGCGGGCGAGGTCGGTGAGAGCTCATGGAAGGCGCGACGGTGAGGAAAGAGATGACATACCGATTATCGCACATGGCTGTAGTAGTTATTAGGTGCAAATGATAAGAATGTTTTGAGCAAGTGATGTTGTCGCAGGACAGGAACAGTCGGTATGCAAGGTTTTGTTCGCGCATTGACAAAGGCCAGGTGAGATGAAAGAGCGTTGACGAGTGAAACGCAGCTTCGAAGACTAATACATTGCTAAATACAAAGCCCTTATTTATTCTTGCCTTGATTCACGGCCTGGATACGCCTTCGTGTTAGTCACGGACTTGTGAGATAGTGTTTTAATGGATTGGTGTTGACTACTCTAGAATTCTGTGAGAAGACGCACTTGAATAGCCGGTCGTTAAGCTTCTCTTCCTCTCTCAAACACAGGAACTAGTTTGACCCAATGCTCAGAACATGAGAACGCAGCCTCCATGAAAATGGAGATACATCAATCAGCCATGGTGGTCTCGATGTCCCATTTGGAACCTGCATCGGCGCTCCAACACCTTTCCATGATGATATAATCGCTCAAGGTGCTTGCATACTCTGCCATCTCTTTCTCGTCGCCAGCGCCCAACTCTCGGCTGGTGCCGATATACATAGACGTCTCAAAATATGCCTGTTTATACTCTCGCTCAGTTACTCTGCCGTGGCTGACAGAGTCGAGACCCCAAGATCCGTCGTAGTTGATAGTGCAACGAACGAGGTTACCCCACTCTAGATAATCCTCTTTCTCGTTGTCGATGAATTGACCAATCTGAAACGTAAGGGCGATGTAAGTATGCATCTTGATGAGGCCTATTCTGTTTCGTTCGGGTCACGTACCAGAACCTGAGTTCCCTGCCTCCAGATGATGAGCTGCCAGTTGCTTCGTCTTTCACACGATTGAACGAGCTTGAACGAATCTGTGACGCCGCTGAGGAACGTGTCTAGGGTGTCCTTGGAGATCTTGAACAGCATAGTGGCCACTGCATCTTGGATCTTGAGATCGTACTCTTCTTCGCTCTCGATCAGGACCTCCCTGAAGGGGCCCGCGTCGATGATGTGGGCATGGGTGGAGGGTGAGTGGGCGGGCAGTCGCTCGTAGACGTTGAGAAACGGCGCTGTGAGGAAGTCGGGCTTGGGGGTGCCGCCATCAGGGCCGGAAGCAGTAGCCATCTTGTTGTTTGTAGATTGTTTGGTGAGGCCGAGGTGTTGTATGGAAAGATAAGATTGGTTCTAGCTAGTTTGATTATGCGGGAATACCCCGCTTCTACGGATCATAGACAACCTTAGAGAAACCTAGCCTGTAGCACGTGATCTGGGAAGTCAGTTGGCGATCCAGATTAAGCAGGCATACTCGTATGAGCAGACGTTAGCCTTACATTTATGGGCAGTCTATTCTTTTTGAGAGCTTGAGCCAAATCATTTGTAGACGTATAAATATGAAAGCACGCCGAAGTTATCTCAGTGATCTATGGATCCATGACATCATTTGAGAGCCAACTGAAGCTCCCGGCATCCAAAATGTGTCCCGTGATATCTCTTGCACTCACTTACTTAACTTACAACAACATTTCACTAGGAATTAGTGGTCGTACAAGTCCATTGAGCAGTGTCCCAATACCTGCCCACTAACAAGCAGTCAGCGAACTTCCTGAGCAGAGGTCCCATCATTGCGTCTCCTCCCGTAGTCCTGTGGGAAGCGATCAAGAAGTCATCATTGGTCGTCCTTCCCGCCCAGACTTCGTCCCAGTCCTGTGGGAAGCAGTCGCGATAAGCTGCGTGCGTAACCTTCCAGGCTCTACTCTTTCCGATAGTAAAACGAATAATTATGTTGAAGTCAAACATATCTCGTGCTGCATCAATGGTATACTGACCGATCTGGACAAAATTTGTGAGTGATGAAAATTTTAAAGTCTTTGACGGGTCGTGACTTACTAAAACGTGGTTTCCTTTCTTCACGAAGATAACACGAGCACCGCGAGGCTCGACTTTGGGTTCAAACTCGATTCGGAATGTCCCCGTAGACGCGAGGAAATTGAGAAGAGTATCGCTGGAGACCGCGTTAAGAACCGTGACGACTGCATCTTGTGTCTGGATATCTGTAACAAAATCGCCCTCGGTTATTTTGTGGGAACCCAGGTCGATGATATGAGGGTACTCACGTGGAGCAGTCGAGGGAAGAACGGGACAGCTGTCGACAAACTCGATCTTGTGAATTTCAACCATCGTGCTTGAATAAACTGGTACAAGTCTGCTGGCAGACAGGTAGGTACTTGTATACAGAGAAACTTTATCTGCTTGCTATAGAGTGCGTGATCTTAGATGCCGCTTGCTGGGAGCACAAACGCGATTAAGACACACATGAGGCTATCGGAAGCTGTATGTTGTCATCATAGTATTAGATGCATCCGAATTTAGCTGTCCCCCATTATCCTGCGCAGCATCAGTACCTCGTGTTTTGTGACGAAGACGCTGTTAAGTGCCACCGAAGCATCAGTGGGCGACTGCGATCCCATGTTGTCAAGCGCATCGACCAGATCACGCACCTTGGCGCCCTCCCAGCCTCCCTTGTCACCAGTCCAGAAAACGCGTTTGATGCCCACAGACGCCATGTAGGAAATGCATCGGTAGCAGGGTCGGGAAGCTAGGACGGTGGGTCGCTTCTCGTCCTTTGTTGATGGCGGCGGGTGCTTGGTACGTGCTGGCCTCTCCGGCTCTGGACTGGTGAGCTCGTCGTGCAATGAACCTGTTGCAGGGCGCGATGGAGGTAGCGTCGCAGCGTCTTCGCCTGGATCTTCGCAGCACACCTTCGGCGCACATTGCCAGCCCAGTCTTACGACATACAGATCGGCTCCATTCAAACGTGGGCTCTTGGTCCTGTCTTTGAGATTGCGAGAACTCTGTCCAGTCTGTCCCTTCGGCATGAGCATTGGCTGACTCCTGGAGTTTGGAGGATTCTGTCTTTCCTTCTATGATCGTCAGCATGTGTGACAACAGAGCTTGGACGACGCACCTTTCCTGCTTTATCACGATTGTTGGATGACACTTCCGGCGACGAAGACGATTCAGAAGCGCTCGACGTTGGAGACTGATTGTAGCATGGAGCTACGATGGTCTGCTTACGCGCATGTTGTCGACCACTGTGTTTGTGTTGTCCATTGTTGGACTTGTTGCCAGGCTTGTGATGATGATGATTCTTCCCGTTCTTCAGGCGGTGTTTCTCCGTACTGTTCACTTCCGATAAGGCCACGTTCTCGTTCTTCTCCTGGTCGTGAAACACAAGATTCAGTCTCGCGCGATCCAGATGCAGAGGATTCAAATCGCCACTCTTGAACGCCAGACTGGGCACTGCCAGAGGCCGCGGTGGACTGGGCCAGTGCGGCCTCGCAGATGGCTTTGACGTATGAGTTGATTGCTTCCCTTCGTAGTCGTGACTTTCGTTTAGAATCACCCGATAGTTTAAAGCACGGTTTTTCGGAGGACACCGCGCTAGAGGCCAGCGTGCTAGAAGCTGAGAGAGCAGAGTGAATCGCCATCATCTCGCTATGCATAGATAACGGAGTGTTGGCGAGCTTTCCTCCACCGCCCATGCTTTCAAACGGCGTAAATGTCTCATTCACATGACCTTTCGGCTCACTTATCTCTCGCTTGGTCGCACGCAGTGGAAGGCGCCCGGTCTTCAGAGCACCACCGTCAAAGCCAGAGCGATGGTCATTGTAGCCCTGACCAATGACTTTACCACCACGAACAATGATAGCTCCATGACGATAGCGCAAAGGCGACTTAGCGGCCTGCTCGAGGCAGAGGTTAAGGTAATTGTCAGTCTTCATGTTGTTGGACAGCAGGTGTGACTGGACTTTCGATGAGATGTGGTTAAAGGCTGGTATTGCGAGTGAGTAATGCGGATGTCCGATTTTCGTGATTGATTTGATGATAGAGTCGTATTGGGCAGCTGGTAAGGCGTGTTTTGGATGCACAAGGAAGCATGGGTGTGAGTCTTGACGCGTGAGGAAATGGCACCCGGGTTAGCGTCTTGGCAACACTCAACCTTCACGCGCTCTTCCTTCTTCACACCTCCATCGCAGACGAACGCGTCATCGTGGAATCGCAATCAGCCTGCGCAACCCTATGATTTATACGAAAGTTATTGTATATACAAAAAGTCCCAATGATCAACAAGCGGACGCCTACTCGGCCCAGACAACCGCGCTGAGACCGTCCTCGTTCTCCGGAATGCCGGCAGCCCCAATCCTAAGGTCCGCAACGCGCTCTCCCAACTTGCCAGTCGCCGGATCTCTCGGTACGATAGCTACGTTCGAAGTGGTTTGGTCGCCAATGGCGACGAAGTCACCGGCCTTGTTGATGTCGAAAGTACGCGGGTATGTGCCGTAGGACGATGTGAGGGCAGTCCATGTCAGGCTTCCGTTAGGAGAGATGCTGAATTGGGTGATTGAGTCGTTAGGCTTGAATTTCTTGTCGTTTCGGTTGCTGGTGTAAACGAAGTTTCCCTTGACCTTGATCTCACCGACCTTGGTACCGGAAACGGCGGTGGCATTGCCTTGGTACGGTGTGAGCGTCTGCTTCAGGGTCAGAGACATGCAGCCTCCCGATGCGGGGTATGACACCGCCCATGCCGACACGCTGTTGGAGAGCTCGTTGGCGATGAAGAGCACTGTGCCGTCTGCAGCACGGCGAACGCGCGAGTTTGCTCCTGCCGGTGCCCAGAAGGCGCCGTGCCTTGGTCCTGTTCCAGGTGGCGGCAAAGCAGCACCGCACTCTGTAAGATTGCCAGTTGTCTGGTCGATCTTGTTGATCCTGATCTTATCGGTTCCGAGATCAGGTACAATCAAGAAGTCGCCAGACGGGTCCACAAAAGCATGATGCGGGTGGGGAGCTTCTTGACGGTAAGGGTTGACACTTTTACCAGTGTACTTCATTGTCTGAAGCGGCTGTCCGCCATTCAATGGCAGCTTGAAGGTCGTCAACTGCGAAGTTTGGCTTTCGGTCGATTAGCAACAGTCGTGTTTTCTCAGGGCTGCTGACTTACTAGTGGGCATTGGCGATGAAGCTTTTTCCATCCGGACCACCATAGAGCGTTGTCGCAACTACACCCTGAGGTGTAGAGCCCTTTCCGATTGAGGTCACGTTGCCGTTCGCACCCGTGGAGAAGGATACCAAGTTTCCGCCTCCTTGGCCCTGGAAGACCTCATCTGGAATATAGAGCGCCTTTCCAGCACTGTCATACGTAATCCAACTAGGCAGCTTGTTGCCAGTAGAGGCCGAACTACTGAGAGTCAAGGCATTGCTGTTGAACGACAGGTAGTTGATGGTGCCGGAGTAGTGCGTCGCCCACAGGTTTGCCGCACTTGCGGCCGTGCCGAACAGCGGTAGAAGGAGTGAATGCGAATGGACCATGATGATTATGGTTTGCGAGTCAGGATGTATCTGTTACTGACTTTGGAGCACAGGGAAGTAGCATCGTTTTGTATGTTCGACGTGTGTTCTTTGACATTTCCACCAGACCGCCTTGCGTCACGCGCCCGCACTCGACATTTCGGAGCTACGACGATGAAACACCTGACTACACCCTCTTGGACTAAACAACCGACTCCATCATGCGTTTTGCTGAAAGCGAGGGTGCCACTTCAGCCTCGGTGAGTATGCGATTGTCCAAGCCGGTTAAAGGCCGCACGTCGGACAATATATAGCAATCTACAGCCATGTTTCGAGCAGGGGTACAACGTTTCAGCCGGTTGCCGACCCCAGGTTGATCAACATGGCGAAATTGCAGTAGCCTTGCATTTCGGTCTTTCATCTCGGGCACGCGCATGTTAAGATCTCTTGGCCAGGCCTTATACCGGGAATGCAGCCGCCACGCCGCTGCCCTATGTCGGTACGTGGATGCGGCTGCAGCGCACCTGGACACGTGTGTGGGTATAGACGAGGTGGCATCTCTTAATCTTTCTGCGACCAATCTTTGCCAAGAGGTAAATCAAGCTGAAGCCACCGCTTCTTGGTATAGCCGTAGCTTGGAAGTTGTCGTGCGATGGAGGCAAGATCTGTTATTACCAGTACCAAATCCTCTTGGAATCCCCACGATTCCGACGAAGGATCCAAGGAAAGAGCAAGGTTTCCACTCTGGGCATTCTCATCCCTTCATCGCAGTCATGTCTCCTGGTCAGACATGTTTTCTGGGTCTTCAGCCGTAGTGTATTGGGTCAATATGTATCTCATCATCAGAATCCACCTCTAGGATTCAAGCAATCCATAAGTATCGCGAGGACGTTAGCGGATGAACTTTTCTGGGCAGCCAAGCCACTTTCCGACTTCCAGAATGATGAAAGAATACTACACATGGCTGTTTGCAGCCTGCGCTCTCTTTTCTTGCACTACCGCTGCGAATTCCACATTGAGCGAATGCCTCGAGTCTCGCCAAGTTCCTGTATATGCTGCAGGCACCAAGAACTATACTCAGGCAGTCAAGCCCTTCAACCTTCGTTTACCATTCAAGCCGGCTTCCTACGTTGTACCACAAACAGTGAAACAAGTCCAAGATGCCGTATCCTGCGGGGTTGAGAGTGGTGTCCAAGTCACTCCGAAGTGCGGAGGCCACAGCTATGGATCACATGGTCTTGGAGGCGAAGATGGACACTTGATCGTCGACATGCGCCGCTTCAACAGTGTCACCGTTGACCAAGAAGCACACACAGCTGTCATAGGAGCTGGTGGTAGACTGGGTAACATTGCTCTGGCTCTTTACGACCAAGGCAAGCAAGCCATCAGCCACGGAACATGTCCTGGGTAGGTCCTCATCCTTATCATCAACGCCATATATGTACTAACACTTTCCAGTGTTGGTGTAAGCGGTCTCACTCTTCATGGAGGCTATGGCATGTCATCTCGCCTGCACGGCCTTACACTCGACCAACTTGTCTCTGTAACTGTCGTCCTCCACAACAGCAGCGTAGTAACCGCGTCACCAACCTCGAACCCAGACCTCTTCTGGGCCCTACGAGGCGCAGGCGCCGCCTTCGGCATCGTCACCGACTTCAAGTTCAAAACGTTTGACGCCCCCGAAAGCAACCTCGTATTCTCCTACAACCTCTCCCCATCCAACACATCGCAACTCGCCAACATCCTGACCGTCCTCCAAAACTTCACCATCCACGACCAACCCCCAGAGCTAAACATGCGCATGTTCCTCCCCAACCAACTAACCGGCGTATACTACGGCAACCGCAGCGCCTTCGACACCATCATGAACCCGCTGCTTACCAAACTCAACATCCCCCTTGAGGGACGCGGCGCAGGTACCGTCTCAACGAAGAAATGGATCGACACTTTGACGTCCTTTTCCAATGGCCCGTTGCCCCAACCCGAAATATACGACTACCACGAGAACTTCTACGCCAAGTCCCTCATGCCGGAATACCTCTCCCCCGCTGCCATGACCGCCCTCGCAGACTACTACTTCACCACCGCGCGCAACATCCGGGGCCGATCCTGGTACCTCCTCATCGACATGCACGGCGGCTCCGGCTCCGCCATCTCCAAAGTACCCGCGGACGAGACGTCGTACTCGCACCGCAACGCCGTCTTCAAAATGCAGTTCAACGACCGCATTTTCCCTGATTCCGCGACGTATACGCCTAAGATGATGGAGTTCTTGAACGGCTGGGTCGATGCGATTGAGAAGGCGAGCGAGGGCGAGCAGTTTGGCATGTATATCAATTATGCGGATACGAACCTTACCAAGGCGGATGCGCATTCGAGGTATTGGGGGGAGCATTATGAGAGGTTGGTGGGGATTAAGGGCGTGTATGATCCGCAGAAGGTGTTCGAAGGGCCGCAGTTGGTGGGCAGCTAGATCTTTTCAGTTGTAGGGGTAGACTTTTGAACTGAATGCGAGAGACATGTGAACACGAATTTGACTGAGAAAGAAGTGATCTGCTTGCTCGAGAAGAAAGTCTATACGGCCTACAAATACACATTTACACAACTGAATCTGTGTCTACAAGAACTCGATGCCGACGCCGAAGCTCAGTCCTTTCCTGCCTTCCTCCTTGGCCCTCATGACGAGTGGAAGAGAGAAGTTGATCTCGAACCTCGCAACGGGGTGTGCGTATACGAGGCCTAGACCAGCTGCCGCACTGGGAAGTTCAGCAGTGAGACTGGAGAAAGACTTTTGAATCGCGCCAGTTACGTCGCTTGAGCTGCCGAATGACCCGTCTTCTTTCTTGGAGTTGGGGTTCTTGAGTGCGAGGAGACGGCCACCGTTGATGAAAGCTTGGAGACGGAGAGGTGTCTCCTTGCCGACGCGCGGAATGGGGAGGAGGAGCGATGCGCCACCAGCAGCGTAGATGTCGCCACCTAGTGCATCGGCGCCGTCACGCGGACCAAGACCAGCGATGCGGAAGCCACGCACGTTGTTGGGGCCGCCGAGCTGGAAGCGGTCGTTGATGCGCGAGGCCTGGGGTTGGCTTTCTCCACCCAAAGCCATGGGGTAGAGAAGTCCACCCCGTAGACCAGCAGTAAGCGTGATGCCTGTGTTGCCGAAGGGGAGAGCGACTTGCGACTCTGCCTCTGACTTCCAGTATGCGGTGTCGCCCTTCAGGGGACCCCAACCAGCGAGTTCGGATACGGTCTTCAGGAAGTAGCCGCTGCTAGGCAGGAGAGGGTAGTCGCGCTTGTCGTTGACCCAGGTATGCGAGATGCTCGACTTGAAGGAGTCACCAGCATCTGCGCGGACAGAAGGCGATGCGTTCTCAGCCAGACTAGTCACCTGTCGCCAGATGCCAGAGTAGCCAAATTCGTGTGTCGCGCCGTTCTTCATCCTCCATAGTAGCTTCGAGTTTCCACCCTTGAGGACTTCCTCATGGCTTGCCCAGCTCTTCAGTGTCGAACTCGCGAATCCGTTGACCTGGAACTTGAGATCGGGGTTGCTGAGGATGGGACTGTCGAAGGCGAGAGAGTAGGCCGACCGTGTTCGCGTGCCCAGCGATCCGTGTGCGTTCAGCGTCTCGGCTCCACCAAGCAGATTTCGTAGTTCGGCGTGGACGTAGGCATCGGCTTCAGAGGCTCCAGCCTCAGTTCCGGTCTTGATGGTGTAGTTGCCGCGCTCTTGGGCCGAGATGTACACGTCAACATCCGTGGGGGAGGAAGAGGCGACGGTCTGGTTAGGACGGTCGAGGTAGACTGATATTGGCGACCTGAAGATACCTAGCCAATGTTAGACAAGTGTGAGCCCCTCCGTCGCGTGCTGACGTACCAAAGCGATTGAGCTTATCGGTAGCTACGCCGACTTCCTTTATCGCGTCTTCGAGAGTGTATGGCTGGTCCCGGTTTGCGCTCAGCAGGGGGTCGACAACTCGCTCGAGGAAGCTTCTTCGTGTGCGGTTGGCGTGGAGGATGCGCACCGACGATATCGTCACGGGTAGCGACGAGTTGTCTTCAATCTAGCACAGCCTCAGCAACAGCCCCAATTGAATGTCCAGAATGCATACCAGCTCTCCCAGCCTCTCCTTCGACCTCTGCTGCTGGGCGTAGAGCCGCGCATTGAGCTCATCCTGCTGGCGCTTCTGCTCGTTCAGGTCCGTCTTGTTCTTGAGCCTTTCGAAGACCTTGGACCCAATTAGCGATGTGCCTTTACTAGCATGATGCACGCCTACTCACATCGTCTTCATGCGGCGAAGCCATTGGGCTGTCTGTGTCTGCGTGCGTGATGCTTGGCGTTGTTCAGAAACCTTGAACTTTGGATCGCCGCGGGCGGCGGATGCACGTGCGCTTACTCTCCAACTGTTCCAAGGTCGTCTGGACGTGCGACCCGAACTCTTTCACCAACGACCTAATTCACCTATCGCGCCTGCCTTTGTGATTCTTATCCTTTGTCTATCGCGGGGTAATCACTGAAAAACGTGCCACGCCTTCTGCACTGTTATCTGGTGGCCACCTATACAGCGCATCCGATAGTCGACGTCAACTATCTCCGCCCAGGAACACGTCGACTGCCACAACCACCCACTCACTCACTCTCCCCCCACATTCACACACCATGGCGACGCCAGCAGCCACCAAGCGCCTCACAAGAGAATACGCTTCCATCTCCAAATCACCACCGCCATTCATTACTGCACACCCTTCGGACAGGAACATCCTAGAATGGCACTACATCATCACCGGCCCACCAGACACACCCTACCACGGGGGCCAATACTGGGGTACTCTGAACTTCCCGCCCGACTACCCCTTTGCGCCGCCCGCAATCCGCATGCACACACCATCCGGTCGATTCCAACCCAGCAGCCGGCTGTGCCTCAGCATCTCCGACTTTCACCCTAAGAGCTTCAACCCCGCATGGGAGGTAAGCACGATCCTGACGGGCCTGCTGAGTTTCATGACCAGCGACGAGATTACTACGGGTAGCGTCCGAGCATCGGAAGCAGAGCGGAAACTCTTCGCCAAGCGCACACGGTGGTGGAACAGTACAGGCGGCGGCAGCAAAGCATCTGGGTCAGACAACGCCGGTGGTCGCCAGAACGGCAACATCCGGGCTGGAGACGGCGGCGCAAAGTTCAGACATGAGTGGCCGGATGTGGACGAGGAGAATCTCAAGTGGATGAAGGAGAACCGCATCGACCCCCTCACGGGCCTACCACGGCCGGCAGCACCAACCCCCTCGCAGCAGCCAGCCTGTTCGCCCGACGTCTCCGGCCTGCGACGACGCCCCGGCACAAGCGCAACGGTTGTTCAGGATGCAGCGCAAATAGCACGCGATGCAGGTCAAGGCTGGCTGAGCCGCAACAAGTGGAGGATCGTTCTCGGAGCGATGATGCTATACATCCTAGTCGCGAGGGTACTAGGCGACGGTGCAATCGCAACTCCTGCTTAGACGGACTGGTCATCACAGGATAGGGCATAGTATAAGGATAGTAGGGTAATGTGCATCAGCGGAAGACACAGGTCACGGTTCGTTCAAATCGGCATTTACTTTGGCGTTGGCGGGCGCTCGGCATACCCAAGTTTCAGTCGAGCACTCTGTATGATACCTTTGATAGTAGCAAACAAGGACAAAAACATGCTAATGTTCTTTCTCCAATTCGCCTTCTTCTGGTCGGTAATGTTTGCCTCTGGTGTTGCGTTACTCACCTTCGACTATTACCGACATGCCCTTGTATTATCCCAAGACTATCATAATAGTGTGGACACACGGTACCCCGTATATACCTTACTCCCCCTTCCACTCAAGGAGACCTGACAACCCGGGCACCACAGCCTCGTCGCGTCGCCACAAGTGCTGGGTGGACCCAACCGGCAAAACTAGGCTTCTTACGGCTACGCTAGTCACGCGACAATGCGATGACGCAGTGGAGATCCCCCACCAGCCACAGCATTTCCATGCCTCAATCCCAGGCAACCTCCCCCATTCCAAGTCTGACATTGCAATATTGTTTGCTCAGCCCACCATCGAATCTCACACTCGTGGTCCGAATAATAATTCTTCGCACGTCAGCAAACCAGCCGACCTGACATGCAAAGTCCTAGCTAGCCCTATGTTTCGCATCCCCCACCCATCCCCGTCCCGTTGGTTGGTCCCTGACGTCGAGCGCTCAAGCTTAACAAACGCATTTCCCAGCTGTACATGCAGGGATGCGCATAGACTGATCGGCAGGGTCGTGGCGAGCTACGGCGGGCGATTGGGTGGCTGAAAAGCTTCAGGTAGGTTGACCCTTTCACGCGTAAACGTGCTTGATAGATCGCGCGGTGGCCCTATGATGGTGTGCATGCGGGCTTTGTGGGACGTGGGATCGTCGTTGACGCAGGACGTGCAAGGTAGAGGGGTTTCGGTCCCAGGGTCGCGGGCTCGATGCTGGGGATATATAGGTAGGAGGGGTGGGACGCTGTTGGGTTTGTTTCGAAACATTCTCGTTGACATTTCTGCCGTTTTTACAAGTCATTTGTGTGTCTTTCTGATCTGTCATTACTACTGATCTGATCAATCATGCGCTTCTCATCTCTTCTCTCCTTCGCCATTGCGAGCGCATCCATATGCGTTGCGCTGCCGACAGATTTGACCAACTTCCTCCTCGTCACCACCTCGCAAATAGATGCTAGTGCGAATACCTCCGAACTCAAAGCCGTATCCGCCACCTCGTTATTCGTAAGTTCTTACAGCGACCTTCAGAAGCAACCCGTCAGAATGTCTAACATCGCACAGGACCCCTTCCACCAACCCGCCCTTCTCCTCCGCTTAACCGGCCCTGGTTACGGTTCCCTCCCGAACTTCACCCTGGCAGATGGCACGCTTTCCACCATCGCTTTGGCGCCCTTCGGCAATACTTATTCTCGTTTCAACAGCACGGTCGTGACAGCCGGGTCGGAGTTGCAGTTCCTCGCTTCGGTGCAGCCGGCGGGCAATATTGCGTTGAACGAGGGATACCTCTTGACGGTGGATGGCCAGAGAGAGGGCTGGACAATATGCGAGGGTGCATTGAGTAATGAGGTCTTGAGCTGGAGGGGCAATGCGAGTGATTGCACGAAGACGTATGTGCATGCTGTGTTGAAGGCACCGTACTAGACCCAAAGACATGCTCTGGAATAGAGCCAATCCAGATAATGAGATATTCAGTGGCATTTTCTCAAGAAACTTAATCTTCATCCAGTGCCGTTGAGGAACTTGCGCCACCAAACTGTTTCCGCGTCCAAGAACCAGGGACTCGCTGCTGCGATTAGCTCTTCGGGTGATGGCGCTGTTCCTGGACCCAAATGTGCGAGAGCCATGACGAAGACGTCGCAGGTTGTTAGGCTTGTGCGTGCGAAGACGCTGTTGGTGATGTGATGTGGCATTGTAGCTCTGACGTTTCTGATGGT